ATTTACCTTGTTCTGAAGCAGTTATTTACAGTTTGTCTCAACCCTAAAAATCAATTTGTTCTTGTTCACTACCGTAACACTTGTATACTGCACTATTTTGTTCTTACATTCACTGGCTTGGATCTGACAGTATGAAACTTGCTATTTGCATTTCACAGCAGATAGTCTATGTAAGACAAAGCACACAGAGTTTCTGGAAGTTGTGAAGTTGAAAGAAGAGGGGGAAGTCTGTAATGTTTGGTGGCAATGCACACACAAGTGTGAAGCTGTGACTAGCCTCCTTTCCCAGCCTCACCCACCCCTTCCACTCAGTCACTGCAAGACAAAAAGTAAAGTTTTCTCTGTGCTGAGCTTATTAAGCGCTATACCATGAAAATGTATGAGGGAGTAGTAGATGTACAGATCCATGTTTCTTTACCTTGGCACTAGTTGCAGGTGAGTGGTCAGATTCATGCCCTGGCCTCTTTACCCCCAGGAAAAGAGCCCCTGATACCCACTGGACAGGAAGATGGGTAGGCCCCATAGATGATCTGCATGACATGGAGAAGAGAAAATTCTTGACCCTACTGGGACTCAAACTCTGAACCCTAGGTTGTTCAGCCCATAGCCAGTCGCTATATTGACTGTGCTATCTCTGCTCAGCAATCATCTAGTGACTGCACTTTGGTTGAAGGCAAATGGGGCTGCAGAATGAGATAACAGAAACATATTGAGGATGCTATTGCACAGGCTAATGGTGAAAACTGGACACTGGATTATGAATTATGGTTTATGGTTGCTTCTACATTTCACTGGGGCATGCAATAGTGTAGTTAGTTGCGACATTATGCTACAAGCCAGGCCGCAGGTTTGACTCCCAATGAAATCACTGGATTTTTAATTCGCCTAATTGTTCCAGCCATACTGTGGTCCTGGGATTGACTCATCCTCTAACAGAACTGAATACCAGGAATCTTTCTGGGGGTAAAGGGTGGCCGGTGCATAACAGTGACAACCTCACTGCTATCTGTGAGCCGATTGATGAGAAAATGTGGCAGCCTCAATGTCTCACAACCCTATGGGCCTCCAAAGCCTACTACAGGGACAGATTTACCTTATTTTTTTAATATATTTCACCAAGTTACATGCCTGAGTACTGCCTGCTTCCTGAGTTCTGTCTGCAAACTCCACATATTCTGCATGAAGGCATCAGGAATGGAGATGTGTGTCAAAACGATTTGTGCAGGAGCAATGCTAGTAAGAAGCAGTGCCTACCAAGCAAAGTCAGTCCAAAAGATTTGGTACTTATGTGAAACCAAAAAGAAAACAAGCTACCAAACAAACTTTTATCAGAACCAGTAATGGTGATTGAGCGCCACAGTTTGGCTGTAAAGGTATGCAATCTAGAAAGACCTCAGATGAAAATTTCTCTGTTCTGTTCTCCACAACAAGGAAGATTATCACCTTAACTTTCCTTGTTAAATTTAAACTACAATCTTAGCTTTGAATTATGGAAAGATGTATTTGATGAGGGAGATGTGAATGTTATGTTCAATACTTTCCTAAATACATTTTTAAAACATTTTTATAATAGTTTTCCTGAATCATCTACTAGACATTGCATCAATAATAATAAAGCATGGATATCATCTAGTATAAAAATTAAATGTAGTATAAAAAGGCATTTGTATTTAAACAGTAAGGAGAGTAACAATGCCAATATTAAAAGTCATTATAAGGCGTATTGTAGAGCTTTGTCTAGAGACATTAGGGAGGCCAAACGCTTGTATTATGATAAACTGATTATAAATTCCAAGAATAGAACTAAAACTACTTGGAACATTGTTAAACTGCTAACTGGAAGAAAATCCTATAATGAAACTACACCTAGCCTGAGTGTTCTTAGTAAATCACATATTAACCCAAAAATGATTGCTGATTCTTTTAACAAATATTTTTTATCAGTAGCAGAGTCTATTACTATAAACACACCGAACAATAATAATATAATTGATATTTGTAATAAATCTAATAAATATTTAACAGATATATTCATAAATACCTTCCCTCTTATTAATTATAGTTATGCAACAACTAATGAAATTGGAAAAATCATAGACAAATTGAAAACCACCAACTCATATGGTTATGATGAGATCCCTATCAAAATACTAAAAAGTTGTAAACATTTTATTACTTCACCTTTAACTTATATAATTAATAGATCGTTAGTTACTGGTATATTCCCTGATAGACTCAAATTTTCTGAGATAAAACCTATATACAAGAATGGTGATAAAAATCTTATCAGTAACTATAGACCCATATCATTATTGACTTCTTTCTCTAAGATATTTGAAAGAGTGCTGTTTGCAAGACTTTGTCATCATCTGACTAACAATAACGTGTTGGCGAGTGAACAGTTTGGATTTCGACCTGATTCTTCCACTGAAAAGGCTATCAATAGACTGCTTGACCAGATTTTAACTGCCCTAAATGTTGGTCAAAATGTGGGCGTAATATTTTGCGACTTGAAAAAAGCGTTTGATTGTGTGAATCACAAGATCTTATTGTCTAAATTGGAATTTTATGGCATTACAGGACCGATGCATAAAATAATAGCATCATATCTTACTGGAAGATTTCAAAGAATAAGACTACAAGCTAAAGACTGTAATTTGAATATTCGTTCTAGTTGGGGTGTAATCTCACATGGTGTCCCACAGGGATCAATTTTGGGACCCCTTTTGTTTTTGATTTATATTAATGATTTACCCTTAGTATTAAATAGGATTTCTTCTCCTATTCTTTATGCAGATGATACTAGCGTAATTATATGTAATCCGGATCCTCTAAATTTTCTTCACAATGTGACTGAAGTTTTCAATAAATTAGATTCATGGTTCAATGCCAATTTATTATCTTTTAATTTTTCTAAAACCGAATTCATTAAGTTCAAAACAAAGAATATATACGAGCACGCTACTAAGATAGTATATGATGATATGGAAATTTCTAATTCATCCCATATAAAGTTTTTGGGAGTTAACATTGTAAACACATTATCTTGGAAAACTCATATTGACTTACTCATCCCAAAACTTAGCTCTGCATGTTATGCAATCAGAGCTATTAAACCATATGTAAATCAGGAAACCTTGTTGATGGTTTACTATGCTTATTTTCATTCACTTATTGACTATGGTGTCATTTTTTGGGGTAATTCTTCATATGCCATAAATATTTTTCGTTTACAAAAGAGGGTGGTTAGAATAATAACTGGTGCTAGTAATAGAAGCTCGTGTAGACAGATATTTACCACTTTAAAAATTCTTCCTCTATCATCCTTATACATTTATTCACTTTTATGCTTTGTGGTACTTAACATGGATCAATATCAATTTGTATCTGATGTACATAACAGAGACACTAGACAGGGTTTTAACCTTAATCTTTATCAACCTTCAACTCATTTATCATTATACCAGAGAGGCTCGTATTATATGGGCATTAAATTATTCAATAGTCTTCCATTAAACCTGAAACAATTATACAGAGATGTCAAACAATTTAAATTAAAGATAAAGGAATTTTTGTATAATCACTCATTTTATACCTTGGAAGAGTATTTTGTGTATTTTAATTGAAGGGTAATTTTGACACTGATCATACTCATGAGTTTTAGTTGTATTATTTATCTATATGTGTACATTGACTTAGTACTTTTGTACTGTTTATTTATTTAAGTTTATTATTTATATTTTATTTATTATACTTTGGAAGAGAATTCTGAGTATCTTTAAGATGTAGTATTAATCTGATATGGTCATATTCATATAATTTGTACAAAGGTGTTAACAGTTTTAAATTGAATCTGAAGAATTCTAGTCTTGTTACTCATTTTATGTATTGGAAGAGTATTTTGTGAATTTTAATAGGAAGAGTAAACTTAATGCTGGTCATTTTCTTGGGTTTTAGTTGTATTATTTTATTATATCTGTATGATTAGCATTGTGCTGTATTTTATTGTTGTTTCTTTTATATATTTGGAAGTGTATTTTGAGTATTTTTGATAGGAAGGGTTGAATTGATACTCATTATGTTTTTTATGATCTCAGTAGTATTATTTAACATATCTGTATATTGACTTGGTACCTTGTACTGCTTTTATTTATGTGTTTTGTTTGACTTTTCCACATCTTCTGAATGTATTTCTAGTATTGGATTTATGGAAATAAAGACTACTACATCTTTACTTGTTGGGTCTATCAACTCCAACTCTCCAATCTTCAACCAGTTGTGTAAAATATGTCTCATTCTTCAGATGACCTACAGCTTATGCATTTACAATATCCACAGACAGTGGCACGCTCCTTGGCAAAGTTGACCCTTATAAACAGTGGACCTTCTATGAATGATTCATCTACACCAACAGCTAACAACATTATTCCACTGAGGTAAAGTGGGTATGTCTGGAGAGAGTGAATGTGGTTTAAGAATCATATTATCCAAAGGCTTAACAATGAATCCTTTCTAGAATTTTCAATTAAAAGTTCCCAATACAATTTTGTATTAGTTTTGTATTGTATTAAAGTGCTAATGGTTGTCTGTGAGCGCTTAATTTAATTCTTGTTTAGTAACTGTTGTTTTGGAAGAAAGGAGGAGTGTGGGGTACCATGGCATAAGTATCATAACAATGTAACATTCCAATTTTGTACAAAAAAAAAAGGCACAAACACAAGGTAAGAGTGGTTCTTGAAATACAGCTGAACATAAAAACGATTGATTTGTTGTTAACTAGAAGCACAGTAGAAAGCGGCGCATGGATGGCGTGGACAGTATATCCACCACTATCAAAAGAGACTGCCCATGCCAGAGTTTCAGTAGACCTGGCAATCTTCTAGGTACACTTTGCTGGGGCATTCTCGATCTTAAGGGCAGTAAACTTCATCTCAACAACGTTTAATACATAGCCCGGAAACATAAAGACCAAAACGAATTCCATTATTTATACGAACAGTAGCAATTACAAAGTTACTCCTATTACTACCACACAACAAACGTCTGCACATTACTTAAAAACTTACTGCCAACCACCTTATACTCGTAGCATAGGCTCACCTGGTGTGATTTTGACGCATGTCTCACTAACGATGAAAACATATTGTACAAAAAAAAAAAGAAATAAAAAACTACTCGTTGCTGTAATTTTGTATGGAGAATAAGATTAAATACATTCCACAGCTTTCCAAATCAGCGTCAATGACAATTCAATTACAATGAATGATTAGTAAACTGGATATTCAGAAACCTTGATCCTACACACAAACAAACATATCAAAGTCCACTTACACCACACTTACACAAACACGCTCAGACACCCTCAGAAACTACCTTCCAGCTCCCAGCTAACAGACTTCCATTAGACCACCCTTTCCAGATCAATGCTTACGAGAAAAACATTAATGCTGCTGTTATTCACTACTGAAGAATTTGAACATACAAGTAACCATAACCTAGAAGTGTACGTACAGATTGATGTTCGGAATTAACTTCTCTTCTGAGCTTCCATTTTTACATAATGTCAAAGGTGCCTATTGCATATCTGACACGTAAAGAAACTTTTAGTGCTTGTCATCGATTACATAGGTAACACATACATTATGTTGGTAACATGTTTACAAGAAATGAAGTCGTATACGCTGAAGTACCAGAATGAGGTTTATTTTGTAACTTACTTTGCCTATCCTGACAAGTTTTGTTAGTCCCTGGAAGTCAGGGCTGAACAAATTTGGATGAGGTTCGCAATAAAGCGAAAGTAGGCACGCTGACAATTTTGAGTCCACAATATGCGGTGCACAAAGCACAATGCACGTTCGTTAGTGTACGCTACGAAAAAATATAATTCATTTATTTTTAGTATGAATTATTGGTATAGTAATTCCCTGGCCATATTAGTGTGTTATTTTGGAAATATAAATAATCCTTTTTTTCATGTAAAACTGTTTATCGCCCCGTTGTCTACATAGGTTTAGGGACGCACAGGGTTTTCATTAAATATAAGCGATGAATGCTAAATAGACTCGCCTGCTTGTAAGCCCATTAGTAGGCATTTCGTCCAGATTCACAGATATAGGGACACAACCATGCAGAGGAGGTTACATGGAGGCTCTACAACAGTGGGGCTAACAAACAGTGCTTCCAGCAACTATCAGAAAATTTGCTCCCCTCTCAGAAGTCCAACCCATTTCATTGAAATGCCACAAGTTATTTTAGAACCAAGCATATGAAAATTAAATACTGACAGGGCTAGAAATTTCGGATTTAGCCTAATCGAAGTAGTATCAAACACCATCAAACCAGAATAGTACGTCATGAATAGAATTATATCCACTAGTAGAACCATGAAATCAATTCATAACATGGGAAGAATTCACTATTTATTGCTTGCAAATTGCAATTGACTCATCACTTGTGATATGTGGGCCATACATTGTGCACCCAGAAAATGATGTAGATGCCAGTGAGGTTTCAGGTTTGCATAGCAGTGAATGTGAGGATTGCTCTCTTCTACTCTGAAGCTAGAGGCAGCAGATTTCTCCAAATTGGTACCCTCATGCAATGCTACAGGGTGTCACATTTGCACAGACAGCAGTTTGCATTGGTACAGCACCATAAAATTTCCATGTACACTCCCTTCCATATGTCTTGATTCATCATCTTCCGTACCCATGGCCTGTAGTCCACGTGCGAACTATACCGACTGAGCGACTGCCGCTTGTCGGCGAAGTTAGTGACAACTTTAGCAGCTAGAGCTTGAGTCGTCATTCATGAAATACTTTTGCATTTCTCATTCAGCAGTACATAATCTCTGTGGCTAACATGGCAGTATTAAATAACTTTCAAAATAAACATCTGATTAGGGTACCAAAATTTCTTGTTTGGGGTGGGTTGGGGGGAGGAAAATTAGCTACATCAGGAATGGTTTAAATAGGTAGCAGGGTGGGCCATATACTCCAACCTAGGATTACCAGGAGAGATGGTTACAGAACTAGTTCTTTGTATTCTAGTGTTATTAGCTGAGCTGTAATGAGAACTGTGAAATATATGTTGCTGAACACTCTTCTCATTACAGTCCAGCTGCTAAATCCATCAGTGAATTTTTAGTGCATACAGGACATTTGAAGACAAATTTAAGTAACATGGATTAGAACTGCTTTAGTTTAATAGCAAACTGTATGTATAGTATTGGCTGCTAGAAATTTGACTGTGTTATAAAAGGTGTGTTCTGTCCTAACTTACATCTTCATACAGAATTACTGGGTTTTTTGGACTTTTTCCATCATCCGGCATTCTAGGTAATAGAGGACATGACGTTTCGGAAACTGAATCTGTTTCCATCTTCAGGTGAGGAAGGAAGACACCTACTCAGTTGGGCCCCTTAGAAAGAGTGATTGAGATTTACTCTTTCTAAGGGGCCCAAATGAGTAGGTGTCTTGCTTTCTCACCTGAAGATGGAAACAGATTCAGTTTCTGAAACATCATATACTCTATTACCTAGAATTCTGGATGATGGAAAAAGTCCAAAAACGCAGTAATTCTGTGTGTCATCCACCATCGTCAGAACCCTTTAGAATCTACTTACATCTTCATGTTATATACTTCACACAGCATGGTATATTGCGCGTGTACATGTATGTAAGAATATACTGTTGTTTTTATTTGGCAATCATTGTTCTTTATACAGTCCACAATTAAGTGAAGAAGAGAACGTGCAAGTATATGGAAAATGCAATAATATTAATGGGCATGGACATAATTATGTAGGTGAGTTCATTACCATAATTTTACATACAGTATTTTTAATAAAATCAATATTAAACAGAATAATTAAATTGTTTAACAAATGATTTTTAATTATATTAAATTAGGATCTCTTCTGTCAAGGTGAACTCCATGTGAAGGCAAAATTATTGGGGTATGTCAGTGTGTATTTTAACATAAGAGATAAACAGATTTTCTGCATTACTTACTTACTTCCTTACTCATGGAGCTGAGCCTTTCTGGAGGAGCCGCCAATTCTGTAGCTACTCAACAATTTCCCAGCATTTTATGGAACCCAAAGGTTCATTACCGTGTTCACAAGAGCCCTCAACTTGTCCCTATCCTGAGCCAGATCTACCCAATCCATACCATCTCATCCTATCTCTCTAAGATCCATTCTAATATTGTCCACCCACCTACGCCTTGGTCTTCCCTGTGGTCTCTTTCCTTCTGGCTTTCCCACCAATATCCTATAGGCATTCCTCGTCTCCCCCATTCGTGCTACATGACCTGCCCACCTGATCCTCCTTGACTTGATCATTCTAATTATACTTGGAGAAGAATACAAGTTATGAAGCTTCTCAGTATGCAGTTTTCTCCAACCTCCTGTCACTTCATCTCTCTTCGGTCCAAATATTCTCAACACCCTGTTCTCAAACACCCTCAATCTCTGTTCCTACCTTAATGTCAGAGACCAAGTTTCACACCCATACAGAACCACAGGCAAAATTATAGTTTTGTATGTTCTAATTTTTATGTTTTTGGACAGCAGACGAGAAGACAAAAGGTTCTGGACTGAATGGTAGCAAGCATTACCCGAGTTCAATTGCCTCTTAATTTCCTCCTGAATCAGGTTTCAATCTGTTATCATTGTTCCCAAATATCTGAACTGTGCCACATTTTCAAAACATGTGTTTCCTATCTTTATGTAATGATTTTGCCCTGCATTTTGGGGATGAGACAGTAAATATACTTAGTTTTCTCTGTGTTTACTTCTAGACCAACCTCTTTACTTGCATTAGTCAGATAATAATGAAAAAATTAGCTATTCTTCAAGAAAACCCACGATCACTTAGGAGGGATCTGTTTTACAGTATTCCCATGAGATGAGTTAGGCTGATTTAAATGTATTCAGATGGATCCTATAATAAACTCCATGTAGGTCAAAGCTTGTCTGATACATTTCTGGGTCAGAATGACGTGAAACAACTAGATGTTTTATCGCCATTGCTTTTCAACCCTACTTTAGAATACAAAGTTCAAGAAAACTAGGTAGGACTAAAATTGAATTAGACTCATCAGCTTCTGGTCTGTGACAGTGATATTACTTTATTTGGGGAAAATATAAATACCATAAACAAAAAAATAAATGTAATTAGATGCACATGTAGTAGATGGTCTAGAATTAACAAAGACATAACTAAGTACATGTTCATGGCTTGTTACCCAAATACAGTACAAAACCATAATATAAAGCTAATTTTTTTTAAATGTGAAAGAATTCAAATTTTGGAAAAGATACCAACAAAACAGAATCGAATTCGTGAAGAAATTAAGAGCAAAATAAATTAAGCTTACAAATTATAAATCACTCCGTCCAATGTGACCTGTAAGTTTTTTACTACGCAAAAACTTAACACCCTTACATGTTTCGGTCTCTGTGGACCATCTTCAGAGGGCAAACATCACTACAAATAGGAAACCACTATCACATAATTTGTTTACACGCAAAGTATGTACACTTATATGTTACAACACACAGTACACAGAATAGAACGTTTCACAAACACAGCAGTTTCCTGGGAATGTAAGTTTTAAAAATGTATAAGATTCCTTGATGCTAATTTATTAAAAGTTTTTTAGATTGTCAATGATTAAAATTCGTAAACCGTGCAGGCTCGTGTTCGTCCTCCCATCGTCTCTCTTATATGGGGCAGATATTGTGCCACCTGGCCATCTTGGAGTGGAGGTTCTTTATATCATCCAGGGTTTGCTCGTGGCTGCTGTGCTGTGAAAACATGTGTTAAAAATTTAATATCTTCAATTACAGAATTAATTATTAATTCCCAGTCATAAAGTATAAATTTAAGTATAAAAAACAGAAATGTAGTATTAATAGTTAATAACAGATCAATTGAAGTACATCTTCTGAACACAGGCCACATAATAAAACACAGTAGGCATTAAATAATATCGTTATACTCAATAAAAGCATACAAGAGCAGCCAGATAATTCTCAATAGCTTCATATTTAATTAGTAATACACACAATATTTACAAATTATGAACTCGCAGGGATAATTATTATTCATATCAGGATCTTTAACAATTTTAAAATAAATAGATGGGAAGATAATATTAAAATAGGTCTTTAAAGAAATGGGGGGCACGCGGTAGCATAGTTGGCTGAGGCACTATGCTACAAGCCGAAAGGTCACAGGTTCAAGTCCTGATGAGGTCATTGGAATTTTTCAATTGACCTAATCCTTCCAGCCGCACTGTGGCCCTGGGGTCGACTCAGCCTCAACAGAAATGAGTATGAGGAATTAATTAAATAATTTTCCTGGGGAGTAATGCGCGGCTGGCGCATAAAGCTGACAACCTTACTGCCATCTCTGAGCCGACTGTCTAAATAATGTGTGACCCTCAACGTCTCACAGCCCTATGGGCCTTCACTGCCTGTTACAGGGATAGCTTTACTTTTTACTTTAAAGAAATGGGAAGGTGTGGATAGGCCTTACCAGGATAGGCACCAGTGCCAGGTCCTTGTGAACATAGTAATGAACCTTGAGGTTCCCTAAAATGGTGGAAATTTCTTGAATAGCTGCACAACTCTTAGCTTCTCAAAAAGAACGCTACCTAATGAAGGTAGTTAGTTAGTTCCTGCAACTTTAATCATCAGAAATGTTTCCTTCATTAATGAATATTACAAGAATTGTCCTCATTGTTCTCTGGATATCTTTTAACTACTTCATAACACGCATAAAGTAGTTTGGTTATAATGGTGGCTGTGTGGGTGTCAAAGGGTTACAGAATATGAAATTCCTTGTAGAATAAGTAATATTTTAATTTAATTTTTTTTCTTGTTGTTTGGAAAGAATTAATGGTTATTTACATAATATCAATACTGGGTAGTTCAGTGAAGTAAACATTTAAAAAATCACAGAAATTAAGCTATCTATGTAGTACAGTCAATGATTTCATGGATTGGCCACATAGTGGAACTGTTATGCACTACAGCAGATATGTGGAGCCACAAGATGGTGCCATGTCCGTTCTTCTCTTCTGCCAGCAAGAAACAGTTATGTGTGTATAGTGCATTCAGTCAGTGTTGTGAAGGGTAACTGTCTGCAAGCAGCAGAACTTGAGAATATCACAGTTTGAGCAACAGGAAAATGTCAGGTTCTGCCAAAAATTAGGCAAATCCGCTAGCAAAACATTTCAGATGATCAAGCAAGTGTATGGTGAGGAAGCCTTGGGCCGTAGTGTGTTTAAGTGGTACGAACGTTTTGCATAGGGGAGAGACAGTTTGGAAGATGATGAGCATACCAGTCAGCCATGAATGGTCAGAACTGAACTCAAGATCCAAGAATTTGCCATGTTGATGCATGCCAGCCACTCCCAAATGGTAGATGAAATAGCAGCAGCAGGGATTATCCATGGTACTTGCCACAATATTCTGTCTAATGACTTGAACATCTCTTGTGTTACCCAGCACAGTGTTCCACATGTCCTGACGCATGACCAACATGGCGATTGTATGAGCATTTGCAGTGACCTGATTGACAGTGCTATACCAGCAGTGGCAGTTCTCCCCAGGCCAGCATGTCTGTGATTACTTACCACTACTTCAGTGATCCTATGATTCACATCTGGAATGTCTGTTAACAGTGATGGTACAAACACATTATCCTTCACATAAGCCCACAAAAAGAAATCACCTGCTAGGAACCCCACGTTTCATCATCTTCAGTTCCATAAGTCATCCATCTTCATGGTGGCATGTTTTTCAGGTACTGTCACACCTCTCAGTGAAAGCAAGGAGGAGCGCCATCTTGATGGAAGGTGAAATCAGCAGAATCATGAAGTTGAGGCATATGCTAATTGATCAGCACGTCAAAAGAATGGCTCCTGTAATCATGTTTTTGATGAAAAGATTGGGCCATATACCTTTTGTTGTGAAAGGAGATGAAACACATCGACTTTTTGGGAGTCCTGTTCATGCTTAATAATTTGATGAGGATTTTCTGGCCCAGGCATGAATGTGGTGGTTGACCTTACCACTTAAGTGAAAAGAGGCTTCATCGCTGAAAGCAAGCCATGCTGCCATGTCATCCTTTTTAAGCTTCACTTGAAGATCAAGTAGAAATTGTGTTTGTCATTTAATTTCAAAGCCTATGTCAGCTGCAGCTTGTAAGTTTTCATAAGCAGATGCTTCCAGAGAATGTGCCAGACTGTGTTCTGAGACAAATTCACCTCACAGCTTCATCTGTAAGCAGACTTCCATGGGCTGTGTGGAAAGGCCTCCCTCACTTGCTGTGTGGTTTCATCAATGATGTGGGGGCAAGAAGAATTCTTTTCCTTCCAGATGCATGCTTTGGTTTGAACTGCTTACTCCACATGTAAATTTATTTTCATTATGCTAGATCCTTCAGTAAAGTTTACAACACTCCTCTTGGACACTTGTAGCAGAATTCATCTTTGATCACCAAATGACAGAGAATACTTTCTCTTGTATGGGTGCAATTTTCACAACATATGCCCCTGTGCTGAACAGGAAGAGAACGTTTCCCTCTGATGTTTCAAAATATTTGATGAGATTAGTTGTCTATCTGTATATGTGGCATCACTATGAAATTAATATGCACTGGATTGGTAGTGTCTGAAAATGTTTATTTATTGAATGACCCTGTACTAATGTGCAAAATGTTGTTTTATTTCACAGTTGAAGTAACATTGTGTGGACCAATAGATCCAGATACAGGAATGGTAATGAATATTAATGATCTAAAGCAGTACATGAACAGTGCAATCATGGAGCCAATGGATCACAAGAACCTGGATAAAGATGTTCCTTACTTCAGTAATTTGGTTAGCACCACGGAGAATGTGGCTGTTTTCATTTGGAATAACTTGAAGGCACTATTACCGAATCCAACAATTTTGCATGAAGTAAAAATTTATGAAACAGAAAAGAATATAATTATATTTAGGGGAGAATCTGACTAATTTGGAATATTTAAGACTGAAGCATTTTGTATTTGGTTCTTCTGCACTCTTGTTATGTTGAACATTTATGTTAATGATTCAGACATTTTTGTGAAAGTTGTGAGAGTACTTGATTTGATACTAATCTACATATAAAATGAGACAAAAGTCTGATATTTGTAGTTCAGTTATACATCGAATCATCAGGTCATAAAATATTTATAATTAAGCTTTCTGCCTGATTATGCCACATCTTGTAGTATAAACACATGTCAGATGCCATCATTTAGCATTTCTTAACACATTGCGGACCGGTTGTTTAAATATTTAAATCACCCTGGGGACCAGGGTTTTTAAGCCTAGCACCCTAACTTGTGCACTGTTCACTTTAAAAATTAATATAAAATCTCCTAATTAATATTATGAACTAAAATTTTTGGAGAACACTTACCAGAGCTCCTAGAAGTGCTTGCACGTGTGATATCTCTGGAAACTTTCATCGGAGCTCTCACTTTCACTGGACACAATATTTTGGGGGGCCCTGTGGCCCCTGTCACTGTCACTTTCACTGAGGCTGACCTCGCTATCAGAAGACGAAGCAGTTGGCAAATCTGATAGCTCATCGGAGAACAAATCTAATATCTCTTGTTCTCCGAGAGAACGCTTCGCCTGCAACTGCTTTCATCTCTGATCCATGTTGCACTGGTAACTTCCTGGTTCATACGTGGAAGCTTGGACTCGAACAAAGGCTTTTTTCTTTAGGGTGACAGGAAATGAGCGTGATCATGTTACTGGCTAAGCTAGCAAACATTCCCGAGGTCAACTAAGCAGTAGTTATGATGCAACGTGGCCACACAGCGAGATATAGTCAGTTACAACATAATGCATCAGAAAAGGACCAATAGGCCCACCCGGTCCGCAACGCTATAGAAACGTAGAAGGCCAATTGGCCCCTCCTGTCCTGAATGTGTTAAATCTGCAGATGCCTTCATTAGCATTTAATCTTATTATATATTATGATTATTTATTTTAAATGCTTGCCTGTAATAAGCCACTGCTGCTGGAAAGCACTCTAATGAATTAATTGAATCATTGTTATTAATACTACTGGTAATATTAATGCATCAGGCTGATGGTTGCTCAGGCAGTACCAATAATATGTATGATATTCATGTGACCTGTGTAATAACAGATCCTCTACATTTGTTACGACAGTTCCATTTTGTGGCAGAATGTAAAATCTATATTGAGCTTCTGGTGTGTTAACATTTAACTAATGAAACAATGGAGGTTAGGCATGTGAAATTTTGTATGGGGATATTAAACACATCTATAAATGCTATGTGAACTTTTTTTTTTTTTAATATATTACAATTTAAGAACTTCTCTTAGTTTCTCTGGTGCAGTTTATTTTGTCATTGTCCAGACCACACAATACAGATTTGAGATACTTCATCCCCCTCAAATCATATGACGAAGTTGTCATACTCATCAACTTCAGAATGCAGCACAGCCTACATCAATAGCTGATTGACCTCTAAAGGAAGAGTAAGATACAAGGTGTTATTGGAAAGTTCTTGGGTTAGGTCAAAAAAGAAATGCTGGCTTAACTTACTCAATTTTGGCTGCCATCTCCATCAAAATAGTCTCCTTGGGAACATGTACAGTGATCCCATTGTTTTTTCCACACTTCAAAAGCACCGCAGAAGTCATTTTCCTTAATGCTCTCAAGTACTGCTTGTGATTACCTTTGGATTTCAGACGCTGTTTCAAAACGTCCCTTGAGTATAGTTTTCAATTTTGGAAACAAAGCAAAATCACAGAATGCTAAGTCCAGCGAGTAGGGAGGATGGAGAACAATAACCATGTTGTAAGATTTGTTTTCACAGCAGTGACTATGAAGAGAGCAGTCTTCTGGGATGTGGCGCCATGTGGATACTGTATACACCCAGTGTATACGAGTGTGGCAAGGTCTGTATTGGGCAGACGGGCCATTCCATGGACACAAGGTTGAAGGAGCATCAGTGGCACATCCGTCTCGAACATCCAGACGAGTCAGCTGTGGCTGAACACAGCACCGATTTGGGCACCGCGTTCAGCTTCAGAATACCTCCATCCTTGCCACCAAGACTCATTATATGGAACACATCATTAGGGAGGCCATTGAGATTGAACTCCATCCTGACAATATGAACAGAGAGGTGGGGTTTTGTCTCAGCAAGTCATGGAAGCCTCTCATCTGTTCCCTCAAGAAACTCCAGGGACATGATGCCAGATCCACAAGGCCACGCAAGTCCATGCCTGACTCGCATAGCAGCACCCAAGTTTTAGGGCTAATGCCCTCCCATTAACCTTGCCTTTCTTCCCCGACACAATATTCTGTACCTGCTGTAGCCTGCTACCTGCTGGCCCAACCTGACCAGACCCTTCCCCTCTCCTCTCTACTGATTTCCTTCCCTTCCTGCTCTATACAGCTGGGTTTATTCTCAACATTAATCTATTTGCCCCTGCTCACACCGGTTCTTCACTTGCGAATTTTCTTCTTTTTTCTTCTACCCTGACGATACATTTCTCCAAAACATCGGTTAACACAATATCTACATGGCGCCACATCCCAAAAGACTGCTCTCTTCAATAACCATGTTGTTAGTCACATGTGGTTTTCAGGGATGTGTGGGCAGGTGCATTGTTGTGATGAAGGTGCCACTTTGCTTGATCAAAAGTTCTGGTTTTTCATCATACATTTTCCCTCAGGCATCTCAAAACATCACAGTAAATGTCAGAGTTGACCATAGTGTTAGGAGGAAGAAATTCATGGTGAACAATCCCCTTCATGTCAAAAAAAAAAAAAACAATGATCATGCTCTTTGTTGAACTCTGAACCTGCCACACCTCTTTTGCTCTTGGTGATTGTGGGCTCTTCCACTGTGACAGTTGTTGCTTTGTTCCTGGATCCTAATCATAAATCCAACTTTCATCACCCATTATGATCCTAGACATAGTCTTAAAAGTTAGGTTCTTGTTAGCTTCTCTCATAGCTCAAGACACACGTTTACATGCCGCTGATTTTGCTCATTTTTCAAGAGTTGGGGTACAAACTGCATGGCAGTATGGCATATGTTGAAATTTGCTGTTAAAATCTCCTGGCAGACTCCATAACTGATCCCAGCAGTGTCTGCGAGCTCATGGATTGTTCAGCAGTGGTCTTTGTGGATGAGTTCTCGAATTTTTTCAACATTGTCTGTCATCTTGCTGGTGTTTGGCTGCCCTGAACATTTGTCATCTTCAACTGACACTCGATCAACCGGTCTTCAAACGTGAATACCATTCAAAAACCACTGTCCAACTAAAAGAATGTTCTCCAGAAGCCCCATGAACCATTTCACTGGTTTTGATAGCAGATTTACTGAGCTTCATGCAAAACTTTATGCAGACACGTTGCTCAATTTTACCATCCATCACAGACAAAACGAAACACGAAGTCGAAAACACTTACTTACTTACTTACTTACTTACTTACTCACTCATGGAGCTGAGCCCTTCTGGAAGATTCGCCAATTCTGCAGCTATTCAAGAATTTCCCAGCATTTCATGGAACCCGAAGGTTCATTACCCTGTTCACAAGAGCCCTCCACTGGTCCATATCCTAAGCCAGATCAGTCCAATCCATACCATCCCATCCTGTCTCTCTAAGATCCATTCTAATATTGTCCACCCACCTACGCCTTGGCCTTCCCTGTGGTCTCTTTCCTTCTGGCTTTCCCACCAATATCCTATATTCATTCCCTATATCCCCCATTCGTGCTACATGCCCTGCCCACCTAATCCTCGTTGACTTGATCATTCTGATTATACTTGGAGAAGAGTACAAGTTATGAAGCTCCTCATTGTGCACTTTTCTCCAGCCTCCTGTGACTTCATCCCTCTTCAGTCCAAATATTCTCCTCAACACCCTGTTCTCAGACACCTTCAGTCTATGTTCCTCCCTTAATGTCATACACACGCATGCAAAAATAATGCATGTTCACAGCGTGTTGTCATGTGACAGACTGATGCAATAGGCTTGCGGAAGTATGACCTTGCCCCCCCCCCTCTCATCTTCTTTCACCGAGGCAGTTACAACAATAACAATCTGAAAACTGATAGCACCATACAGCCATCAAATTTTGGCACAACCAAAAAAGAAACAAAATAATGCAGACATCTACATTCCAACTTGTCTTGTAAATCTGTAAAATTGATGTTAAACAGAAATGTCTCTGATGAACTACTTAAGATTACTGAGTGCAAATTGAAAATGAAATCTGGAACACAACATGCAACAACAGAAACATCATCTCTGAAACCCCATGAATGGAAGCTGTAACCATATTTTGCACCAACTGGACAGGACCGCATGGTAGTCCATCTACACTGACTGCTCTTTACCTTTTGCCTGGCTGGATATCATGTTTATCAGTTTTTTTCTTCCTGTTTGCTCCCACTTTGGAGCATAGGGCTGATTTCTCAGATGGTAGGACTCCTTGGATGGGTGATCAGCTCATCGCAAGGCCTCTACCTAAACACAGAATAAATGCATAAACACACCAAACATCCATGTCTTGTGTGGGATTCGAACCCATGATCCTGGATTCTGAGCGACTGAAGACAGTACATGCCTTAGACTGCTTGGCTACTGTGACCGGCATGTTTATAAGTAGGAATCATTAATTATTGGTGTAAGGTGCCACTGAGTGGGTATCCATAAGGATATATTGAGGATACTGTAGTGAAGGTATGGATGGATAGGCAACTAGCTGAACTGTAGAACTTGAGACATCTCAAGAACATTTACAGCTGAAACTCCAATATGGCAGTGAACAGAAATTAACTGAATGATTCATGAGATATTTTTGTTACAAGATTATCTTCATTTACTCTTCTTGACCACAGACACATCTGTAAAGTTTGCAACATAGACATGTTTTTGGTTTTAAATTCATAACTTAATGAAGCACACAATATCAAATTTGATTAAAATTTTGATGTTTGTTTTTGGAGTTTGTCCGTTGTCTGGTATTCTAAAAAACACAAGAGATACCAGATGATGGAAAGAGTCCAAAAACCCAGTAATTCCAAGGTTGATTTGACCTTATATGGATTGACAAAATGCAATAAACAAATGAAATGAAATATATATAGTACACCATCATCAGAACCCTGTAGAATCCACATATTCATTTATCATAAATGACTACAACAGAGATCTGTCTCTGTATTGATTTATTCAATAATTTTGTGGTTAGGTGTACAGTATGTAGGTTTCCAGTGCACTGATATAAATGTAACAGATTTAACCACAAAGAATAGTTACTGTCTTTACACCCATATC